TGTGCTGATGGAGCAGCAGCCAGGAAGGATTTAAAGGGTAATTGTTTCTGCCTCTGCCACACTATTGACCAGCGCTGGCCTTGTTTCGGGCGTGGTCTGTGACCATGGCCAAGCAGGCCAGCGCTCAGCGAGGACGATGCCTGCTCTTTCTGGAGTTCAGGTTTTCTTGACATGTGTCTTGCCAGAGACATTCCCAGCTAGATGGAAAGTCTTTGTGGAATTTTTGCTTGAGTGCAAAATAATAGAAAGCATGTGTATGTTTAAAAAGGATCAGCTTAATGGCAAATGAGCACCGACTTACGTTAATATTCTATTACAGTAAAAACTCCTCTTTAATAAATTTTCTCCAGGCTTTTTTCCTCCCAGAATCTCAGACTTTTCTAAGTGGCATGCCAACCCCAAGAAACTACATACGATACGTTTGATTTACGTTAAGTCAATAGCATGCGCAAGCCATTTGAAATTGCATTTTAAGAAACATAAACCAGAGGAAACCCATATAGTACCAAATACTGACAAGGGCAAAATGTGTTGGCTTTTCAGAGGCTCAAATGCCTTGTAAATATTATTCTATTTAGAAGATATTTTAAAAATGTGGAGGTTCATGTCAAATGGCCAACATAGCCAGTCTGCAATCCTGGCGTAGTTCAGGGCTCCCAATTCAGCTGTGTGAAGGCCCTCACAGGAGGAAGCAGCTCTGCTTTCCTCTCCTGCCCACTGTGGCAAGCTGGAGGTGGAGCCGCCCGAGAACCTTCACAAAGGGAATGACACATTCTTGATCAGAGGCCACACGGCCACCCCGAGTTGTTCTATGGCCCTAATTAATACTGGACTTGGTGACATTTATGTATCAGAGCAAACAGGAAACAATTTATGTCACCTAAAGCTTTTTAACAAATCGATGCAACTATTTGTAATTGGTTGTTTCACAAGATTAAAAGTGCCAAGGCCTGATCTTGGCCCACGGATTTGTGGTCAACTCGACCTGTGCTTCCGTTGTTTTTTTTTTTTTTTTTTAAAAAAGCATTGGTGATCAGCACTGACTTCCATCAAGTGATCCATATTGCTAATATTTCTGGAATTTTAATGTAGTTAGAATTTATAGCTGATCAAATGTGGTTACCTAAATTGCTGTTGCTGGTAGACAGTTTAACTGTCTTTATTAATTACAGTATAATTTAATGTTTGAGTACCGGCACTTGTGTTGGTCATTTTTACAGCTCGAGCAGTTATCTGCCTTATGACGAACCATTTTAGCATTTTCAATGGAAATTTGCTAATATGATGAGTGATAAAAATGTCACACGCTGGTAAATAATGATTATTGCTTTGGCTGAAATTAATTCTTGAAAGGCCGGTTACCTTCACATTATAACTTGAATTGTGTCTTTCCATCCCTATATTCTTGGTACATCCCCCCCCCCCCCCCCCCCCCCCCCCCCCCCGCACACCAACAAAAGGCTATTGATAACATTGGGTAAATATATATGTTTTGATATTCAGCACCGAATGTGACTTTATAACTAGTGGAAATATGGTGACATAGGTTTTTTTTTTTAATAAAATACTGTTTAAAAATAAATAATTAGGTTATATGTAAAGTGATGGTTCTCTAATGCAAATATTGTTCCAGAGTTAAAACAGTGTTTTTGTATTTAATTTCTCTCTAGTGTGAATTCTCTGTTAGACCTTTCATAAATCAGTACCTTAAGGATTGAGACAAAGTTCACTGTATTTGAATAAAGAATACTTTTGATTAAATATGAATTGTGATTGCAAGTCTGTATATACATACATAATATAATCAAGACATGTAATCAAGAATGGCTAATAGTTTTTGTTATCTTTTTTGGTGGGGGACTACAGTATTATAAAACTGCTTGCGTTGTGTAAAATTAGCCTTCAGAGTCATGCTCTTTATATATAAAGTTCCCCATTTAAAAGAGGAATCAATTCTGGGGTCTGCCACCTTGTTTATCGGATTGGCAAGTCTGGAGTGTGCCAGAGTTCCTGCTTCAGGTCGGTCCTGAAACACCAGGAAAGCACAGGGTGTCCTCAGCTAGCCTCACCAATGCGTCCTCTCAGGGGATTTCAGGGGACCCTGGTACTGTGTTCTTAGAAGCCAGGAGAGGTTCAGGTGTCCTGCTAGTCACTGCACTAGAGGTTTCCAGAGTGTGGCGTAACTGTCAGTGAAGGGAGAATGTTCACTTGCAACCTAGTAGCAAATTCTACTTGTTTAAAAAAAAAAAAAAAAAAAAAGCATTCAGAACTTTCCTTCGGGCTTCTCAGAACAATGCTGGGCAAGAACACTGTCTGCCAGCATCTGTGGGCGCTTCACCGCACGGATACAGCAACGATGCGAGTCGTTGCATGTGCTCGAAACCACACGTTATAGGTTCTGTGTTCTGACGGCGTGGCTGCTTCAAGCGCCGTTTTCAATGTACTGGCAATTTAATCTGTGCTGGAAGATGATTCTGGGATTCATTAATCCTTCCCATATATACATGAGAGAATGATACTAAAGAGAAACTGCACAATTTTTAAACATACTGAATTTTTTTTAAATGACAAAAAAATCAGGTAGTTTTTCTGGGACATTTTGGTTCCTGAGTTGTTTTCTGCACCGAACATGGCTATCCAGCGCACTTTGGATAGAATATTTTTATAGAATCATTTGTTCTAATCTAAGCATTTATCATTATATGCAAAAAGATTTCTTGATGAGAATATTATAGACGGTGCATGTTTTTGACATTAGCATTTTATTTGGATGACTAATCTTGCAGATGTGAAATTTTAATGAATTATTCATGAAATTGCTTTCCTCTGAAATTTTAGTTTGCTCTTAATGCTAGTTATTAAACATTTTGTTTTTCTTTATAAAATTTGATGAAGAGAAATAGGAGTGTGCTTCCTCAGGAGACAGCCCTCGTCGGCGCTCCTTCCCAATCCTCCCAGTGCATGCTTTCCTTGGAAATCTCATCCTCGGAAAGGGCTTCTGCTTGGCTCGTGGTGCAGCTAGTAGAGAAGCCCGACGGTGACTTGGCTCTGAGGCAGCTGGCTGAGGAGCCCCAGCCTGTGCCTCGCACAGAGCACCAGGGGTCAGGGAACAAAGTAGGCCGGGGCAACGTTGAGCACCAGTGTGAACAACCAGCGTCTTTATTGCATTTGAGAACGCTATCGTGTCAGTCATCAGTACTGACTACACCACATTTTTTTTTATTGTCTGTAGCCACAGACATGGAATGATGGAATTACAGTTGATGTCAAGGAATGAGTTTCTTTTATGCCTTATCAAAACAAAACAAAGCAGCTCTAGTGACTGGCGGCACGAACACATGGAGCACCACGCTCACATCTGGACCACGCTGTGGCCACCACGGCCGCCCGCAGGGAGCAGGGTGACATGAGCTGCCAGGCCCACGGGACGCCTGGAGGGCTGTAGACCTCCTCCTCTGGATAAAAGGGTGAAACCGACTTGCAAAACATTCAGAATGTCAGGAGGGGATGCCAGGAACCCAAAGGCACCGCACAGATCGAGGATGGTCATGAGCACAGCCCGTGAGCCCTGCAGGCAGCTCAGCTGGGATGGGTGGGAAAGGGGCAAATATGCATGAAGTCGCCTTGTTTTTATGATTTAAAAAAGAGAAAATCTAGTGATTTACGTCACATTTTAGGTTAAGAATCCGTGTTTTTCTTTATTAGGTCTGAGGGGACACTGGGAGATCCTTTTAGGACAGTTGGAAGGGGACAGGGTCGGCGGTCACTCTTAGTGCATAACCTGTTTCTTTTCTTTGCTGGTCCAGTCTGGCAGCCTCGCTCGTCCTACAGGGACAAACTCTAGGGACAGTAGGGTGAGTCCGCATTCCTGACACTGCCTTTGTCTGACACATGGGACCCCCTCCCTAATGTATGCCTTTCTCTGAGGAGAGGAAAAAAAAAAAGTAACAAACTGTCTTTACATCTTGGCACCTTGTAAAGTTTTTTTTTTTTTTTTATACAAAACTTCAAATATCTCCAACACTCCCCATTATGAATCACTACTTCACTGATAAACTTTGAAAGTGTGACCCTAGAATTTCATCATGCAAAATATTTACTGCAGCAGGAGAAAACATTTTTAAACAACATTTTTTTTTCTTTTTTCAAATGTATGAACTTGTTTTAAGACAGCCAGGAAGGCAGTGGCAGGATAAAACACAAGGGACAGGAATGTATCAAAAAACAGATTAAAACACACACCCACGCACACATGAACCTGTACAAAATGCTTCAATCGATGATGATAACGGGGAAAAAAATCCATCAACTATGTTACAATTTAAAAGCAAAAAAAAAAAAAAAGTTTCTCCCTCCCATGTCAGAAAACGTCATCCAATATTCTCAAAGCAAAGGAAGTACAGCATGTTCTGCAATTCCATTACATACAGCAGTTTTTTTTTTCCCCAAAGATGTTTTTGTTGTTAATATAAAGCAGTTGCACAAAAAGCAAAGGTGTTTTGACAAACAGGTGTATGCATTTATTCCTTTTTAGGAACAATATCTAAAAAAAAGAACCGCCCTCTGCCCTCCCCCAAAAAAGACAAAGATTCACACGGACACATTGGGATTTATGTACAACATAATAAGCCCCATCCTAAGGAAGCGACGGAACCCCCAAGGGATACAGAATCGGAACTGTAGAAATCATAGTGACATTTGCTTGCTGTGAAGCCTGAGAATTGCTTTTTCAGTTGGTTCTTCTGCAAGGCTATGATACCTGCAAAGATATGTAAAATCTAATTTTTCTTTTCTTTTTTTGCTACAGTCTTTAGACTAAGCATGCAAGACATACAACTAGGTGCAACTGAGTGAAATGTATTTTTTAAGTTTTCATCATTCCTAAGGTTTGGACTGAGGTATGCGTACTAACAGTCTCTCATGCTGTTACCGTTACTCGTGTCTAGCTACACATGCTGAGAATGAGCTAATCTACCAGATTTTTATCCTCTTTTGAATACCACCCTAACCAGCAACCACTCCGTTTAGAAGCACGGGGTCCTTCCTGGGACCCCCCGGCTACTGCCTGCACATCACGAAGCTGCCTGGAGAAGTGGGGGAGCCATGAGGGACCACAAACTGCCCTTCAAATAGAAAGCAGAGTGACGCTTCCAAGGTCATTGCCAAAGACGTTTTTGTACCAAGCTTATGAGTGGACAGGAGTGTTACTTTTTTTTTTTTCCATTTTAGTAAATGAAAAATGTTGTCCAAAGTCTATTCCAAAAAGATAAATAACATAAAGACAAATTGGAGGATCTATGCCAAAATAAACCAAAATTAATGCAGTGATCACAGCACAGTTCTTAAACAAAAATGGCATGTAATCTCACTAAATATAACAACAAAAATATTCTAGAAATGCTATCATGTCGTCTAGGTTCAATTGCAGATGCTTTTCGGTTGTTTCTGGTTTTCAGCTTAACTGTCTCCTCTATTGGACATGCTCGCTTCCGGTGGCAACGCTCACAGCTCTTTGAGATGGGACTTCGTTCCTTCTGTAGCAACTATAATACTGTGTCCTATTTTCATCTTCAGTAGCCCCATAATTTTTCTTAATAAGGATGAGTTTTGGTCTCTGTAGAGGTACAAGAAGAAGAAAAAAAGAAAAACTAGAAAAAAGTAACAACTTTGGTTCCTTTACCTACTTGGTCTTCTAAATCTGCTCTATGGCCAACTTTCTCAGGTTAGCAATAGCCTGTATCTTTTATCATTTGCTTCTAAATCCTTTCACCTCCTTTGATCAACAATAAGAGGATATTTGGCTTCATCAGATAAAGCATAAAACAGAGAACATAATTTACCTTTGTGTAATATCTTTGGTAATTTTAGAAATAAAAGGTACAAAGAATATAAATTAAGCTCCAAAAGGCTCTCAAACTAAAAACAAAAGCTACAGTTCTAGATAAATACATGTCAGGGAAATGGGTGCAGACGGAGGTGTGGCCGGGCTGGAGGACCGAGGCGGTGGCGCTGTGAACGCCCGGTGCGGCTCCCCGGAAGCCCAGGGCCTGCAGGACCTGGTCTACCTGATGTCTTCTGTCGGCTTTCCACACTGGGGGACAGTGATTGTGACACACCAGTCGCGCACCTCCCGGACACACACTTAGGCATTTGCTGAACTGGGTCCTCATTAACGCCCTCAACAAGAGCGACCTGAAGTCTAATTTGCATTTAAACAGAATAGTGCCACCAGGCAGCTCCAATGATCCAGCCTCGGCACTGCCCCCCTCCGCGTCCAACAAAGTTGCTTTGGGGAGCTGGCCTCTGGTCACTTTGTAGTCAAGGCAGCCCACGGTGGTCATCCCAGCAAGGAGCCCCAGACCCTGACCACGGGGTCATGGAGGGAGAGCCATTCCCATCCACGAGGTCAGCCTAATCATCACCGTCTCCCTGCCTGTGTGCTGGTGCAGTGCTGTGGCATTTATTCAGAATGATGCTTCTTATTTTCAAAAAAAAAAAAAAAAAAAAAAAGGAATTCTGAACAACCCCTCACCACCCCCAATACTGCTCTGTGGAATGAGTCTGCATTGTTCTGAGTGTGTCTCTATTTTTTTTCTGTCATTCATTCTCTTTCTGGCAGGACGTCCCATCTGTGTGACGGGACCTTCATGTGTAGAGTTGCAGCATTTGGGACCTTTTTGAAAAAAGACCAAAACGGAATGTTTTCTGACTTCAGAGAAACGTGGTGGCGTCTGTAGGAAAATGGAATGAGTGACAGAAAACTACGAACGAGAAATGACATTCAGCTCTGTGTAATAAAAAATACCTATCAACATTCATCACAAGGTACAGAAAACTTTAAGCCTCCAAGAGGCCGTGGGCCCAAGTGGAGGCCTGAGGTCAGAACTTAAAATGGTAAAGTAGAAGGAAAAAAAAAGCAATACATTAAAAAGTTTGGGATAATTTTAACCCCGCCCCCCAATACACACACAAAGGCCTTCCCCATCCCAACTGGAAGCAAAAAAAAAAAAAAAAAAAAAAAAACCAAAAAACAAAGGCGTAAAGGCAGTGATATCAACATGCGGTACTGTGCAACAGGTCGTCCACTGGAGTCCTTGATCCTGGCAGAGGCGTGGTCTGCAGCTCAGGTGCGCAAGCTCAGTTGGCGTCCTCAGTGTCCAATGCCGGCAGGACTGCAGTTCAAAGTCTGCTGCTAAAAGTGAATCTCAGTTTAGCAAATTTACAACACTGATGTTGACTGTGAAGAGAGGAAAATCCCAAGTACCAAACGAGTCCATCCAACGCACAGAGTACAAATTCCTTTTTTCAACAAAAAGTAGAAAAATCAAAAATACTCCCAAACGGGATTCTTGATGGCACTAAGAGTTAACACGTTTCAGAGTTGCCAAAGTGTAGTGAGGCTCCTCCAGCCTGTTTGGCCAACGCAGAGCCACTGCACTGCAAACTTTGGACATGTTTTTGTTTCTCGTCTCTGATCTTCCCTCTCGGACTGCCCGGCCCAGGTGTTCACTCCATGTCCTCATTGACCGGTTCGTCTTCATAATCTCTGTCATGGTCAAAATCTGGACTGTGGTTGGCTGTTGTCACCAAGGACAGAGGCCCTTCAGCTTCCTCGGGATCGAGGGGCTCTTCTTTGACGTGCACAGGATGCCTGGGGAAACAAAGACAGGGTCAGAGGGCACGTGGGGCCTGGCGCACCCTGACCCCACACGGGAGCTTTTTGCCTCTCAGGGGCCCCGTGTGGCCAGCTGTTCTGTGGTGCCGCTCTGCCACAGCTGGTCTCAGACCGGGGGCTTGTGTCCTGGTACTCTCAGTCCCAAGGACCTTATTAGAATGTAGCAATGAGTCAGGTGGTCTGGGGGCAGGCCTGAGACTCTGTATTTCTAATGTCCCCCAGCCCGAGTGTCCGACAATGGGCCCGCGTCGGCCCGGGGTGGAGGAACACCACCATTCAAATCATTCCCTAAAATGGGAATCTGTAACAGCGATGGTTTGTGGGGACCAGAGCGCAGGAGATGGGGCTAATCGTGGCTTGCTGTGTGCTCTGCTAGTTAACATGCAGAACCTGTGAAAGAACTCTCCAGAGGACGACCCCAAGCAAGGTCCTATCATTAATCAACTTCAAGCAAACACAGCACAGAGACACCATGATACATGCTTGAAACTCCAAATTAATGCATATTTTTACAAACTGTCAATAAGGCAAGAAAAGCCCTGCCAGGAAACACAAACGGAGAGGAGAAGTCTCGCTCCACACAACAGTACGATAAGGAAGCGGGCCACAATCAGAGTAGTGCTGTCAGCCATGAACAAGGCGAAACACGCGGCCCTGCTGGTAGCGGCCACGGGGACACTGGGCCTCCATGAGATCTGCCAACTTTCTCATCATGGACCAGAGCTTGGTTCACCGAAGGGGACTGGGGTGATCACACAAAGCCACTCTGATAACAATTGAGAAGTGTTGTTCCTAAATCATATTTACAACAGATCCTTTGCAAATACAAATTACGTTCTGTTGCTGGGCTTTTGATATGTAAAAGAACCATTCAAGTTAAAAAAAATAAAATAAAACCTCCCCTCTCTGGGACTGGCTGCAGAAGGGAGGGTTTTTGTTTTAATTGACGTTATCAAGTATTAGTAAGGAGAGGTGGTGCTGGGATGGTTGGCTCCCTAAATAATTGATGCTGTGTGCAACAAAGGCCCCCAGAACCATTTAAAAACAAACAGAGGCGTGCTTGGGACTGCCCTGGAAGACGCAGCCTTCAGAATCAATCTGCTCTGAAATCAGCATGACATTCAGAGAGGTTGGGGGACAAGATGCCAGATAAACAGCTTTAAAAAACCATGCCAAAATGAAACGAGGCTTAAGTGTTGCTACAGTGCATTTTACATGTCCTGTTTTTTAGGAGGACTCCTCCTTGTCTGCGTAGGACCCAGGCCTTGCTGTAATGTGCAGGACCCAGTGCAAAATGCAGGGTTCCCAGCGACACTCGGGGCACTGAACCAAGCGTCTGCCTGGTGGGATTCCCTGTATTGTCCCGCTGAGAATCCAGTACACTGATGGATGTCCTTAGCTGGACCCTACTCAAGGTCCATTTTGGCTGCCTGGGCCTCCCCGAGAAGGGCGTGGTCTTGGGCCTCGAAGACACTGCAGGAGCGCTGTGACTTTGGCTAGCTTTTCAGTCACCGTTAAGGCTACCTGAGGCCGACTCTAGTCCCTCCCTGTCAACTGTTTGCATAAAAAAGTCACCATTTTTATCCATTCATCTCTCTACTTCTGTTGATTTACCTCCTTGGGATAAATTTCTAAGAGTGGAATTGTTGGAGCAAAGGCTAAAACATCTCTATGGCTCCTGTGATTTACTGTGATATCAATTTCCAAAGGGGCTAAGCCCATCGAGACTCCATCTCGTCAGGATTGAGCATCATCTTTAAAAGCTGGTCTGCGGCATGGTGGGTGGGGGTCCAGCGCAGGCCCCCTCAAGCTGCGCGCCGCAGCGGGCTGACGACAGTGCAGGCTACCGTTCCGCATCTTCACTGTGGAGACCAGAGACCTCCTCAACACCGCGTCTCCTTGGAGCCTGCCTCTCGGCAGCGTCCACTGGACGAGGCCGTAAAAGATTTGTAGTAGGAAAAATGTATCAGAAATATTAATCTTCTTGAGTTTATAAAGCAGAATCTGATGATGTCATAGAAAACTTTGGGTTGGGGGTGAGGAAAGGAACCGTGGGAGCCTTCCTGGAGGTCTTGCCTTGTCGCTGTAGACTTCCACAGAAGATTTGCAAAGCTCAGACAGCAAAAAGAAACGGGAAAGGTCCCCACGAAATAGCTCACAGAATCAGAGAAGACAGTTTCCCCCGAGTTCAGCGTTTACTTCCCTGGAGACAGGGCATCCCTGCCGGTTCTACCCGAGTCACACACAGCAGCTCTGCGGCAAATGTTAACCACCAGACCCACTGTGAGATGGCCTGACCACAACCAGGTTAGATACAGGGCTTCTTGGAACTGGCAGGCGCTGGCTACAGCGCTCTTGGAACAGAAACGCAGAGGGTAGAGATTTCCAGGTACCAGGCCGCACACTCGTGCCCGCGTGTCTTCTGGAGCTGGTGTGCACCTTCAGCATCTTCTTCCATTGAAAGGTCAAGTGCAGGTGCAAACCTGGGCTTTCTCTTCCATCTGAGCAATTCCTTTGTGCCTCCACTCTGGGACACGGCTGGCTGGGGTTCAGGCACTGTGATCTGGTGGGGACACAGGGCACAACCCAATTCTGCTTTGCAGCTTCTTTACTTCCTCTGAGGATAAGAGTATCATGCCCTACATCCACAGGCTCATGACTGCTTTCAACAAAGAGATGAAATGTGGTGGATCGTGGGAAGGATGAGAAGAAAGGGGTGTGTTTCAACACCAGGCATCAGCTGGACCGCTGTCCCCACAAGGTCCTCTAAGCCTTGCCGTAAAGTTGATGACTTGATTTATTCCAGTAGACTGGAACAGTTACAAAAAACAATTCGCCTCAGTGCAGGGTAATGCACATTGGGCAAGAGTAAAACCACGTCACTATGGGATTCTCTTAATGGGAACAAGAGGGTCCCACAGAGTGCCCAGGGCAGGGACGGTACAGGACCTACTGCTGACTCGGGCACACCCAGCGAATGCAGGCACCTGAGATCTGAGCAACACCTCTTCCTACGGAGCTGGGATTGTTTCCAAGCAGTTGAAACCTTCGTTTCACAAAAGTCGTGCTGACTGGGGAAACGTGGTTGTTGGTAGTACTGGGGTTAACTCGGAGTTCTCAACCCAGCCTGGGAAGCGTCATCAGATCTCTTTTTCTTTGCACTGAGTTACGGGAATGTTTATGAACTAAACCTTGGACTTTGTGCAGATGTTGAGAAACAGCAGGTTCAGAGTTTTTGTTCTAATGGGCATTTCTTGAGGTAGCTTGTACGCCAATTTATAATTGCTCTGAATTTCTTAATATCTGCGTAAACCCTCCTGTCGTGACTGAAAGATGAAGACGAATGTGGTAACAATCGACTCAAAATAGCAGGCTGCTCTAGAAGGGTGAAGTGCAGCAGTGGCCGTGTGAGGGACCAACTTTCCTCAAACACTACATTTCTGACCCCCATGTCCTGCAGTTACCATGGCAGAGGGCACTGACGCTGGTCATTAGATGCCAGTTCCTTCTGTTGCTAACTGCTACAGGTCACAACTTTTCTCCTGTCACTCAAACCATCTTAAAATACAATATTGGTCGGTAACTCATGGATGTGTGGGCAGATGGCCCATTCTGGGAGCCAYCAGAATGGTGCCAAAATTGAGTCCCCTTCAAGTGGGCCGCAAAAAAAGCTCGCTGAAAGGGAGAGACTGTCATTCTGAAGCTCCAGCCACCTGCAGTCATGTGGTTTCATTTCTCTGGTTTAGAACTCTCCCCACTCAGCCCCCCACCCCTGGGGACAGCAGAGCCCCTGGGTGGCTTGGGCCTGTTGCCGTTCCCATTCAGCGTGGCCCCCGGTCGTGTGTGCACTCATTACCCTCCGTCTGCTGCTGTAATGCTCCTATTAATTTTCCTTTTGATATTTTAAGAGCAATCTATAAATCATGCCGCCTTTCATTTGTGCCATCATTAATGCTCGGTAATAAGGCTGCAGCATCACATTTGCTGTTCCAGTTCTCACCCAACCAAGTAAACCACCTCTCTCCTCTCCGCTAGGTCCAGGGCTCCACCTGAACAGCGTGTCTCAACCGACGGCCAGATGCACACCACGTGTCCCATGTACTGCTGCGTGCAGCGGCAACCATGTTTACAGGGATGGCAGCAACTCTTCTAGGAACACAGCTGGCTACCTGGGTTCCGGACACTGTTGGACAGGTACACAGCGCCCGGAGGAGGAGCCCTGTGTGGGGCGGGCAGTACTCACACAGCTTGCAGAGGGGACCGTCCGGGACTGCTGTCGCTCTCGTTGCTGTTGGTGTGCTCCATGGCGCCGTTGAGCTCCTCCCGCATGGCGCTGGCCAGGTTGCCCAGGGAGGGGTTGCCCATGGAAGCGGTAGTGTATAGAGGTATGCTGTTCTCCGCCATCGAAGCCTGCCACCAATGAGAGACAGAGCGCGTGAAGATGCAGGCGGGGGGCACCCTGCAGATGGCTGCCAGGGAACTGGTGCACAGGTGTCAAAGAGGTGGGTAGCTGTGCTTCCATAGCGCCTGGGGCACGCAGCCAAGGGAGGCCCTGGGGAAGAAGTCCTGGCCCTGCCCAACTCAGTGCTGCGGTGGCCATGGGCTGACTAATGGGAGGTTTATATCTGACGCCTTTTTTTCAAGAGAAACTGAATATTTCCAGATCACAGTGGAATATAATGGAATTTTCATTTCTTTATCCATTTTGATGACTCTGCTATTGGATAGCAGAGATCTGATCAGATTATTCTGGCTGCATCGCTCAGATTTATGAGGACTTCCATAAACACTTACCTCTTAGATCCTATAGAAAAGGAAGGGATCATAGAATTGGAATCAATTTTATCCCCCCCCCCATCATTCCTGTTTTAATGGGTTTTGAATCTGTTTAGTGAAATTGAGAACCAGTTAAAGGAACATGGAGTCATCTTTTGGACTCACGCCAATCAACTGTGATTTTAGGATGAAAGAACAATATCTGGCAAAAGGAAGTTTTAAATCTCATTTATGTTTGGTGCCTATGAACACCAATATTAAAGGTGACAAAATCACTCCAAATGAGTGTCAGTGAAAAAAAGTAGAAATGGAAAAATGCTACCCTAACCCTGGGGTGGATGCTGTCCCCTGCACTGAAGTCCCTGTACTGGTTTCACTGGGGGAGGTGGTTTTTCATTTTATTCAAGGGGACAGACTGAAAAATTGGCAGTTGGTAATTAGACCAAAATTTATCCAGACTGCCCCGTGCCTGGCTTTCCATCCTAGACAGTCAATCCAGCATGGCGACTCCCATTGGCCTCTCATGCAGGAGTACAGGCTCCTGTGGACATCCTGGCATTGAGACGGTAGGAGCCAACCACAGAGGCGGAGAGCGCGTGGCAGGGGTGCACACAGGCACACCCATCTCGAGGGCAGGGCTTCTATAAGCCCACTGCCCTCCAGTTCTCCATGTAGGTAAAAAGTAGGGGGAACACGCTGCTTTTCCTTCCTCGTGTGGTAAACTTACTGTGATCCCCATTCCCCACTGTCCTATTGTTAGTACGGGTCTCTTGCAATATAGTGTGTTGACTTTTTGGGCAAAATTACTAGTAGCATTGCAAGTTGCAGCAGGATACCCCTCTTCACTCCCCGTGAGACAGCACAGCAGTCCAGTGTCTGGATAATCCACAGTTGCAGGGTCAGTAATAGCTAAGATGCCTCAGAAGTAAAGTCAAAACTGAAATGGCTGCAAGAATGTGTTCCTGGAAGTAATGCCTCACCCTCCATGGTAAGCATTGATTGTGCTGGGCTCCAAGGTTGAGGAGACTGGACCCCAAGACCTGCAGAGGCGTAGCTGAGCCTCTGACCATCCCACCAGGTTAGATAGACACACTTGACTCCTGCCTCAGGGTTTTTTCAGCAGTTCATGTCCCCTTTGGAGCTGGGGTCCAAATTTTTTGTAATATAGACTTAAAGGGTCCTACCTATGAAACTGGCACCTCTGCCACAAGAGTGGATGGGCTTAGCAATGGTGCCCAAGTCCATCAGTACCACAGCGTGTGCCTCCCAGGCACTCGGGGCGGCTCAATCTATAAATACGAGCTTTACCGTTACCCCTAGTTACTTCCTTTTTCAGAGCATAATGCAATCTGTCCCGAGTCCCATGTTTTATTTCTGTAGTGGATTCTGCTGTCCTATTTTATAAATTGTATACCATGCATTATGTTGTTCTAGTAATTTTTTTAAAATGATATTGTCCCACTATTCTTTTTACTTGTGTTGAAAAACTGGTGCTAGTGGAAAGGAGGGACAGGCTCCCAATATTCACGCCCACCTGATGTACATAAGGTCTCCTCCATCATCGTCCAAGGATGAAGGAAAGAGAAGCATCCCGTGTGAAGAGGAGGATGTGGGGCCTCCAGCCTGGGCAAGGATGCTCCCCCGCAAAGCAGAGAGCATGCTGCGGCTGTCCAGGAGGAGGAGGGACACAAAGCTCAGCTTTCTCTTGAAGCCCGTGAACAATAGAAGGTCATGTGATGCGGTGGCCTATCATCCCGCACACTAATAGCTGTGCTAGAGTAATTACACTTGTGGTATTTTTGCCTCAAGTGAAATTCTGAAATAAGAGGATGGAAATTATGATACTGCTGATAAATATTAATAAGTGAACTTTTAATTTTTTTGCCACAATATTCAAAATGCTAAGCATCCTGCTAATGCTGAAGCAGCCCGATGCGTGTGCCTCCAGGGAGTACAATGCTTTGTGCACTTAAGAAAAAAGTTTAACGGAATTAAAATTTAATATCTAATTAGAGCGAGGCTAATATATTTTGCAATGAGTGTGGGAGACGTGTGCCTCAGCCGCGTGTTCGGGAGGGCTATCCATCTTACCTGTAAAGCCGCATTGAGAGGGGTGCAGTAGGCGTGGCTGCTCTGCATGTTTTTAATGAGGGAAGGGTTACTGCGTGAGAAAAACAGAGACTCAGAGTTAACTGCAGTCCAGCCCCGAGCTCCTAGCTCAGTTTTAAGCTTGCTGGTAGCCTTGCTAATTAGAAACTTCCCCCACCAACCAACTCGGAAAGCTGGGCTGTGCACATACTTCTGGTGATAGCCTATGCCGTTCAAGGCAAGGGGGTGTAAAATTCTGGCTTACCAGACGTGGGGACTCCCTCCCGAGACCTCTCTGCAAAGTTAGAGTTGCTGGGAAGCAAGCCCTGGGCAGAATTGGACTCTGAAGCATCCTAAGGACCTAAGACCTTGCAGACAATGCCTGCGGGGGCTGGGCAGAAGCCTGTGGCACAGCTGGGTGTGGGCCTGGTGCTGTGCCTATGAGCAAGAAGCCCAGGAACTCCTTGAAGAAAAGCTCCGGACTTCTCCCAGAACTACTAAAAAATGACACGGCACATGACACGGCACACACGGAGGGGAAAGGAAGCATGGTAGGGAGCCACCTGATCAAGTCCCCACCCACGCTCTCTACTATCTACGTTATGATAAGCAAATAAGAAATTTGTCCCATTAAATGACTTTTCTACTTGTAGAAATCATGGGTCCCACAAAAAATAATCATAGTCAGCTGCTGAGTCAAAATACAATTAATAATTTGCATCAAAGACGTCAAAAAAGCATTGTTCAAGGCACTGGCGATCCAGAGAAGCGAGAGGACATGGACGCATCACACAAGCCAGTTCCCTGGCAGGAAGCTGCGGCACTGCTACGAGGTGAAATGCACGACTCCATGGGATGGGTCAACCATGCAAAGCCAAAGCCACAGCAGAAAACAAAAGGAAAGCAAGTAAAGGCTCTTACTGTGCGACAAGCTCGTCAGAGTCTGCAGCGGGGCAGTACTTGCGAGGACGGCCTCGTTGACTATGGCGGCCACGTTTAAACTCTTCGTCATCAACTGTCCAAAAGGACCCAGACTCATCCTCTACTCTGACAAAGCACTTATGCAGTGACAGGTTGGTGCGAATGGCACCCTGGGATAGGAGCAGCGGCAAAGGAGATGGAGTGGCATGGAAAGGGGACGGGGCGGGGTGGGGGGACACACATCCAGTACAGGGGACAGGAGAAAGAAAATAAAACGCGATAAGCATAGGCGAATGGCTCGTGAGGGTTAATATGCGCTGCACCTACACGCTAGCATGGGATGCGACAGACCAGCAAGCAGGGTGGGGCTGGCGGGGGCACACGACAGGAGGGTGAAATGCTTTTTTGCTTCCCTTGACTGAGACAACGTGAAACCAGTTCTGTGGTCTGACAGCGTCTCGCAGCCAAAGCCTCTACATCACACGAGTTAGCACAGTCCGGGCTGGGCGCAGAAGTCAAACGTGGTGGACGTACCCACTGATCTTTTGTGGCCTTCGCTTTTGGAACTCTACTTCATCCACCGTCCACACTGCCCCTTTAACGTTCTCTACTCGCACAAAACACTTGTGAAGACTAAGATTATGGCGCACTGCATTCTGCAGCAGGTATGAGAGAGAGAACATTTACAATTTCTGTAAGAAAAGACTCCAGAAACAGTACATTCAGCCACACAGTCCCCACGGGAACACCACTCCCCAGCTGCCGCCCACCCCRGGAGGTCCTTCCTGTGCTCCAGGGAGACTGGCTTAACTGCCCTTCTGTCTCCCCTCTGGCACTATCCAACCAGAAAAGGAGGAGGAGCCCCAAACAGGCCCTACAAGTGGCTCTGGATTAATAGTGTCACCGTGACTTCAAAATAAGAAACTCTGAGCATGAAACGATCCTCTTTACATGATGAAATGCTGTGAAGTCCAGGGCACCTTTGCCTTCTCAGAGCCTCTACAGGTTGAGGAGGGAAGATTCTTTGTTATCACTGAGGCATCACCTTGAAGGCCAAGAGGATCAGGTGAACTAAGCCCCAGGGGTGAGCAGCACCTTACTTTCCCCACTGTAAACGAGAGCAGCTGCCCATCAAGTCAGGGGAGAAAGGCTACACGCCTGCAGGTGAGGGTTTCTTTCCCATGTTAGGAGTCATTTCTGATGGAGACTTTGCATGTGTGTAATGCACCGTGCACACAGGTCTCCACTCAAGAGCCATGACCCTTCCTGGGCCCGAGTAAGTACAGAGCGACCCCTGTCACGGAGGAAGTAGCTCAGCTGGGGTGGCAGAGCCCCTCTTCCCAAGCCCCTTTGTTCTGGTAAGGCCATCGTTCCCACCATCTGGAAAGTGCGCTCTCCAAATGATCCTTAATTTCTTGCTGATCATAATTGGTGAATTCAAGCCAAAATCATTTTTGATATGGTATATGTTGAATATGACGAGCTGTTTTGTGGGATGGTGACATGGCCTGCTCATAAGGAGCATCCACAGGGTAAACTCCCAGACGTATTGACTAGTGTGAGGGTAACACTATCAAAGGCTATCCTTGATTCAAAAAAATGGTGATAGGTTTGCCTACAAGCTCCCTGAAGTCACGTGGCATGGTGCACTTAGACTTGGGGAGAAAAATTTCTTTGCAGCAGTCAGTCAGTGTCATGTGCTCGGTGGCACTTTATGTGCAGTCTCCTCAAACAACATGGAAGAGACGCTAAATACATGAAGCCAAATTCCCTTTAAAAAAGAGCATGGGAAACCAACCCACATCACAGGTTCTGTGCGCCTGACTGCCCAACCCAGTCAGACACTGAGGCGCTCTCTTGGGTCCTAACCTGATATCTGGGCATTTCATCAGAGCTCACAGAGGGAACAGTCTGCATATCTGAGGCATTAAGTACTTCATCTAGGGTTGTTTGTATTAATGACACCTCTCCCTGCACTTTGCAAAAATGAAAAAGTTAGATCTGAGCATGAATTTACATTCGCGACTGTTTTTAAATTTCATCATTTGGTATTTATAAAAGGCAATTTGAAGAAAATGTCTGCCTCATGCTTCTAACTCCCTAAATTTTTAAAAGCATTTGGGGCTCAAGATCCTTTGTGTTTTATCTCCCAAGTCAAGTGAAAGAAAGGTAAGATTTTGAACGAAAAGTTCCCTTCGGCACTCACGAGTCTCATGAGTTAACTGTACGATTTTTTTTTTTTTTGAATGCTAATTTATCAAAGATACATCGTTTGGCTTTGCTTTCCTCCCATATAGAATTAAGAAAACAGAGGGAAAGGGATACATATCAAGTAAAGCAAGTTTTCCCTGCAACCCATAAATCCTAAAATGTTTCCATCAAACAGTCTGTTTTGCAGGGATCAACCAGATTCCAGGTACAGAGATGCCTGTTAGACTGTATTTGCTGTCTTCTATGAGCAGCAGGCACCAGGAAATTGAAAAAGGGGGCCTCATCTAATACGAGGGACTATGTCCCGATGGGAGCCATGGACCCCAAGCATCGCTGATGTGTGCCACACACGGTGTCATAATGCAGGATGCACCTCAGAAGCTGCTCTTCTTCCTTGGGTCCCTATGAACAACGTGACCCTGTGTGGGACATATCTGTTCCCTTCAGAGCTACCCAAGACCGGCTTCATAAAGCAGTGCTTTCTCTCTAATCAACACCGTTTGCAAGTACTTGGGTTGGTGAGCTTTGACCCAACCAATGGAGGTTAAGGCTGCCTGACCTCCAGGCAGGTAGGATCCTCATGCTGGAAAAACAAGTTGCCCCCGCCTCTCTGCAAATGCTGGCTGAGGCTGAACACCTAAGAGAGGGAGGTGTGCGTAAGTCCTTTGGCAGTGTCCTTATGGGGCAACCAGAGACAGATGGTCTCCCTGGAGGGCCACTCACACCTGTGCGGCCCGAGTCATGGGAACCTTCCATCTGAGCACCTCGACCACAAAGCAACCCTTTAACCATCTATTCCTATAGAGTGGACGCTCTGTGACTCTCCAGTAGCCCAGTCACTGCGCTCTAGGCCCGGAGAAGGCTTACCTTCCACGTGGCTGCGTTGCGACGGAAGTAAGCAAACATTCTCGTGAACCAGTTATAGATTTCATTCAGCGTGAGCTGCTTTTCTGGAGATTCAAGAATGGCCTGCGAAGCAAAAGTTACGGGAAGAAGGTAATTTATGACCACATCAGCAAGATTTGTCACTAACCAGGTTCCTGAAAGTATAAAATCACTGACATTCAGAGCCTAAGAAAGGTTTGTTTCACAGAATGATCTAAGATTAATGGTTGTATTTAACAGTTCAATAGCAAAACTCAAAATGGAATTATCTAATTGTTTTGAGTTTTTATTTCTGTTTCCGTACAGAAATATTAATTTATTAGTCATTCATAAAGCAGAATCAAAGAGAAATGCAAAACATTTCACTAGCTGATTAAAGCTCAGTAATTATTTAGAGCTCAGATTAATTCCAGGGATCAGAGATTACTGTAGCTTGTGATAATTGACTTGCCATCTTTAAACAGGCTCATTTTCACTGTTGTGTGAAATGAATTTCCTAATAATCACATCGCATTGTAATACTTAATCAAAAGCAATTATGTTATATATTGCAGTTTTTAAAAACCTTATAGAAAAGGTTTTAGCATGTGGCATACTAAACGGTTTCAAATCTACTTCATCAATACAATATATCCATGTACACACACACACCTTTGTATGTGATTTCGCATGCTGCACTGTTTACTTACCTGCCTAATTAAAGATGCATATGTAAATGGCGGTCTAACTTCTGCGTTCTTATAAAATTCTTGGTTCTGCGCAATATCTGCTAAATAAGAATCATTGTCCTATTAATCATCACTTTTTAAAAAAGGAGCCACTCGGCAAGAATTGCAGGCGACAACCCCAAGCAAGGCCAACATGGAGTATTTACCTGAAGAAATGGGCACGTTGTACTTGTCTGAGTACCGCCTGCGGATGGGTCCCACCGTGTGCATGCTGGTGGTGGTGATGACGGAGGGGCCTTGGGTGACGGGAGTCAGGGGAGCCGTGGGGGTCGTGGGGGTATGAGGTAAGCTCTGTGGAGAAGCCTCAGAGGCGGACTTGGAGAGCGTGACGCTGGACACCAGATTGAGCTGTGGGGAGAAGACCATTTAGAGGGACGCTGCTCACTCAAGCCCAAGCCTCACTGGGCTCCTGTGACTATTGTCGCAGAGATGCTTGTGAACGGCCAGGTGTATCCCCGAGGCTGGAAAGTGATCATGCACAGGTTCAAAAAGGGTGGCCCAGCCAAGCAACCGAAGCCAACCCTGGTCAATCACCTTGAGACCGTCAGAGGGTGAAACAGCCCTGGCGGACGACACCAGGTGGGATGGACCTGAGCTCCCAGCACAACTGCAGAGCTGTGCTTTTCTTCAGATTCGATTTTACTTAAATTAAATGGGCTCTTGGGCTAACACCCGTCCTCTGGCCAGCAGGATGATGCTCGAGTCCACCACCGAGCGTGGCCATAGCACAGCACAGGTCCAGAAGGCCGCCTGGCTTCCCGGCCTCGGCAGAGAATCCCCTTCAGTGAACACTGCACACAAACCTTTCAAACTAACCAGCCCAGGGCTGGAATCTGTTCACTGAAAAAGATGGCCGCCCAGGAGACCCAGGACTTCTAGAGAGATTTGTCTTCAAGTTGTGTACTCCCAAGGGAACTTTACTTGGAAGCAGTGTGGGGGGCAGTGAACCCACCCTGTTCTGTTTCCTTTACTCCCATCTACCTGTGACAAACCCTGGGTGGGGTAGAAACTCGAAGTCCCTCGAAGCGAGAGTGTGTGGTGGTCCCCAGCCTCTTGCGGTGCTGGCTCAGAGAGTGCCTCCCCCAGGTCCACACTCCAGCCAGATTCCAGCTCACCCACCACAAGTCCATTTCACCATGAGTACAGTCAGTCTTGGCACAAGGATTATCTGTGAAAGGTACTAAAACTGATTCCCCTGAGATGCTAATAGAGCGAATGCCAAGGGCGTTCCCAAGTGTGCAGAAGACCCAGCCTTTCCTCATACGCTGGCAATGAACGAGACCCCGAGAACCCCATCTGATGTGTCCAGGGCGTTCCAAGGGAAACACACACAGATCCCATGATATCGTTAAAGAAACAGTAACGGGAAATACGGGCCCGCTGCTGGGAGCCGCAAGGTTGAGCTCAGTTGCTATTGGTCAACTCAGCAAGCCACAGGACGCCCCTGCACCAATGCCCGAGCAGAACAGGCTACCACTGCTACTCACCCAGGCACTGGGCATGGGCAGAACAGCTGCCCTCTTTGGTGCTGGAATGGTGACACTGTAACCCACATTTACAGACCAGAGCTAACAGTGCCGAGGGCAGCCACAGGATCAGGGACTCGGCCTGACCTCTCCCTGGCCTTCACCACTGACCACAGCCAAGGCTGGTATGCAAAACACCAGGGGAAGCCACGGGCCAAGGCAGGAGTGCACACAGCTCACAGATACACATCTCTGTTATGGAGACGCTGCTCAGCCAGGACTCGGGAAGGTCCTGGCCACATGAGCAATTCGCACTTTAGACAGCCGTCCCCAGTGCTTCCACTGAGTTCCCGTACTGCCGCCAAGATCCACGGTGCTGTTACTCACAGGTGACAGAGAAGCAAACCAAGGCCTAGGGAAAGAACCTCAATTGTCCATGTTCCTGGCCTGGACCAAAGTGAAACCACACGTGTATACAGCTCTCGACCCTCTGCACAACCTCCTGCACCTGGTGGATGGGGAAAAACATTGCTTTCTGTTATGCCCCATGTTGACAAGATCCAGTGAAAGCCTGGGAATGTCACTGAGCGCCTGCAAAGCGGAAGGAGGCACAGCCGCTGGCCTCAGAGCGCTTCCATAGCCCAGACACTCGTAGTTCTGACTCACTCTGCTTCTCCACTTCACTTTTCAGGTTAAGACCGTTACTCTAATCACACTGCTTAAAACACAGCAAGAAAACTTATGTCCTTGGGAAACACATACTCCTCCTGACTCCCTTGAGAAGGTCATCCAGCCTGCTCTCCTAGTGTAACCACCCAAAACGAACCTCATGAATATTTGGCGAGGGTAAGCCCGACCCTCTGGTTGCTAACATCCAAGAAAAGTAGAGGAGCCCCACACAGTGACCCCAGATGCAAAAAGGACTCGATTCCTGCGAAGCTCTTAAGACCTGCACCAATCCCACCACAGAGGGCAACAAAGAGAAACAACATCCCTCCAGGTTAGCTCAGCGCACCAAGAAAGAGGTACAGGTGGAATTTTCTGGATGCTTCTGAGTGTGGGTAGCAAGTGGAAATCAACAGCGAGCCAGAAGGGAGCAGAGAGGGTTTACCAGGCTTGACAAATGACACCGTGATTCACACCCACTGTTGGGCTGGCTTTAATAAGCCTCAGAGGAAGCAGCCAATCTCAGCTAATTACCAGATAAAAATGTATTGTAAGGACTCTAATTAGGAGACGCGGATGGAGGTGATCTAATGATTAAATGCTGCATCGGGTGACCCCTCCATCGGTGCGCGGTGGTGCAAGATGTCACTGGGATATTTTGTAGAAACAGTAATTCTATTTCAAGGAGGGGTGGCAGTAATGTTTGTAATGATGGCTATGAGGTAAACTAATTAAAAGGCAGTTCCTAGAGGAAGAGGGTGGCGAAAGCAGCTGTGGCCATCCAAAATCCAGAACCAGGTCTGCGTGGAGGAGCTACCRTCGAGTGGAAAATTCCCGGCTGACCCCTGCCCTTGCTATTAATTTGCAGGGAAACTAATGACACATACACACATCCCCACAAAATCGCTCTAATTGCTAATTTGCCAAAGGAGCCCAGACTTCAAATTAAACATGATGTAGCTGAGAGGGAAGGGAGAACAAAAAAGCGTGCACTCCAGATGGAGGGTGCTCTGCCTCTCAAAACCAGCAGAAGCTGGACCAGCAGCCAGTGACGTGGCCACCCTTCCCCTGCACCTCGAGTTCCTCGACTGGGAAACCTTGGGCCAGCCGAGTCTTGAGAGGAGACCATCTCGGCGACAGGCCAGGAGAGAAGGCAGCGCTGGAGGGATTCCAGACTAACCTGCACCGTCCATCACAGAGGCTCTGAAGAAGGGGACCAGGACGGCAGCCGTGGGCGAGTGGCCCAGCACACCAGGAGATACTCCTCCTCATTAGGAAAGTGGGCACCTGGGCTCCCTGGTTCTCATCTCAGCTAAGGTCTTAGGAGAGCCTCCCCTGCCCCGCCCCACCCCATCCCATCCCGCCCCAGGGCACAGAGCAGGAAGGGATGGGGCTGGGGGGGGGTGGCGTCTGTTCCTGGTGGAAAGCCCATTTTTCTTATTGTGTTCATCTTCTATTTAAAAAGAAGTTGCTATGTTTAGAAAAGTTAGTAACTCTGAATTTCTCTCCATGGCAGGCTTCCATCACGGATGATTTCAGCAGAGATAATCTCTTTGAAACTCTGGCCAAAAGTTAAATTCTTCTGTCACTTAAAATGGCTGCAGCGTTTGATTTGCTAGAGGAGACTGAGTGTGCCCCTAGCACTCTTCTCCCTCCGTGGCCACAGCACCGCCCTGGAGGTCTCTCAGCTACCCACGGTGGTACTCAGTCCTTTCTTAAAAGATGGATCTTCACTTTTCACCCAGAGACCTCCTCTCCTATGCAAGGAAGATGAGTCACGCTGTCTTAAGAAAATAAGCAGACCGCTGATGTCAGCTCCAGACAGAGGCCTTACTGTGGGCATGTCCAGAGGCTCCTGCCTCACTGGAAAACAGGTTCAGAGAACAAAGGGGGACCTGGAACTGAAGCCTGAGGGACGCGCACACTGGGGACCCTTGGTTCCACTGGCCGAATCCTGCCTAAACAGCAGTGAGGTCTGCAGGCAGGAATCACTGAATCAGAGCCCAGTGGTGCCAGGCCAGGAGGCAGGGCAGGGGGGCAGCTGCCGGCTGTCCAGAGCCTTCGCTGCCCTCCCCTGGCAGAGGCCTGCTACAGTGCAGCAAGCAGGACACACAACCAAGACTCCCAGGCCCAAGTGAGCGGGCAGGGCGACGGACAGTCCACACAGCAGCATGGAGCCGCAGAGCCATGGACGGCAGCCCGTGCCACCTGCCGCTCCCCCAGGGTGTGCTGGCCCTTCGTTGGGGGGGGGTACTTTAGTTTTTATAGTAGCTAAAAGCCATTTCCAAACAGCCCCAACTGCTGTGGCTAAAGAAAACAGGTAACAAGGAACGTCACCCGGCCTGCTTCTCCAAACATGCTTCACGGCACTTCCGAGGGGAAGGCCCTGCCACCAGCACGGTGTCCCTCGCCCACCCAATCTGAGAGAATGCTGCTCCCCACCTGGGGGGCCCTCAGGCGCAGCTCTGCCCCGGAGCAGGGCACACTGCTCTGTCCCAGGTTATAAAACCGGATTTATGGTGTTCCCTGCCACAATGACAGCAAAAGGTCTTTTTAAAGAAATCCGTAACAACTTCATCAAGCCCTAACCGACGGGTTTCTGCGGCTGCTGTCCCGCAGCCAGTGCTCCCTGCAGTGAGCAGGGACACGGGGGGGCCTGGGCAGGTTGGAACTTCCTTAGGGCTCTAGCCACAGCTCTGCCTTCCCTGGGAAGGGAGGGTCCTTTAAAACATCCGCACTGCACTAAGGTGGCCCTTCGCCACCCACGGGTGCCCAGCCCGAGAGCCTGCGGCCACCCCCAGGGATTCTCCACCCTTTTCCATGCAGGAGCAACCCGAGAGCAGGGAGCGCCTCCCCTCCCAGCGTGCACCCCGAGGACGCGGCCATACGCTCCCAAGCCTTCATCCCCCTCGGCCTGGCCTTCTAGAGGTCTCTACCCGTCCACCTTTCAGGCTCTCAGGCAGCACTGAACCCAGACACCCAGGGCCATCGCCTTCCCTGCCCCATCAATCTCTGCTGGAAGAGGAGCTTGCCTTCCCAGGCAGACATTCCCCTGGAAGATAGCCGCCCTCGCGTCCTGGGCACAGTCCTGAGAGAAAAGGGACAGCAAGACAGGGCACTGGCATGGCCGTGGCCCCCGGCTCTCTTCCCAGGGGCTCCCGCTCAGATCCACGCCACCGTGGACACTGTCCTGTGGTCAGTGCCCCTCTAGCCATCATGATCCAAGAACCTCCACCCTGGGATTCAGACAGTGCATCCCAGCTGACATCAGAGCAGTCCAAGAAGGGCAGGGACAGCCGGGCGACTGGGGACAAGCAGAGAGACTCGCACCCCACAGCACCCAGTGTGGGCAGCACTTACAGCAAGGCGTTCTGTCACTCAGTGACTAAGGATTCTTAAAGAAACACACAGCTGCTCTTCCACAGGAATGGACCCTATGGCAGGGCCACGCCCCCAGTCCCCGAGGCTCACCTCGGCACGAGCCCGGCGCCCAAACTCACACCAGGCTCCAACACCAGGCCCGACAAATTAATTACCTGCCAGTGGGGACACTTGGCACGTGAAGATGGGTGGCCACACGGCGCTGGGCCCCCAGAGTCGCCAGTGGCAAGGGCGTGTGTGCTGTGCCCTTCCCTCAGCGCTCTTCTTGGCAAGGAAGTGAAAATTTATGCAAAACATCACACGTCTATCTTCTATAATTAATTTCCCAATGCCTCACCTATACATATTTTAATAATTCCTGATTTATAAGATGGTATCTATAATAAAATTTTCTATTTTCCAATAAATGAAAAGAAGGCAGGTTCTTTCGGACGGCAGAGTGTGTGACACAGTATCTGCTTGCCAGGCACCGATTTCACTTCTTACATGCAAGTTAAAGGATAAGGGATTTATAAAGCAGCCTGTGAAGGGAACCACTTTTCATACACAAATGTGATCTTTTTTTTCCCAAAGGGTAATACAACAGTACATTTACATAAACTAATCCAAACAATCTATGTATTTGACAATGGCGAGCCTCACACAGACGGCCATTGTTGGTTTACATCTCGGGGCTCTTTATCCTGCCTTGTAGAGCTGTGCTAGCTGTCAAAGGTTTGACTTGGACTCTAAATAAATGGTTATAGAAGTGCTGTGCGGCGATATTGGACTTCTTTGCAAAAGAAAACCTGCTGTGTATGAATTCAAAAGCTATTAATTTTTCAGTCAAAAATATTCGTGCCTATTTCTTTTAATAAAGAAATACTGTGCTGAGCTACTGAGAGATAATGTTGACTAGGGGTAGAGAATTTTCAATAGAGCAGTTAAAAATAAATTTAGTAGGAGGTCCCCTTCAAAGTTATAATTTTCTAGAATGTAAAACATTTTTTTTTAACACTAATCAAGGCAAACCATCCTTTCCTGTTCACCCACCCCCACTGCTGCTTTTCCCTGTTTACAGGAGGCTTAACACGGTCCCTGGGGCCATTCCCAAGGGTCCTCTCAGCCAGTGTGGGCTTCGCGTATATGGTGCCCACGCGGGCTTGCCCTTCCTCTCTGTGGACAGATCCCTCCTCCTGCCAAACAGCCCTGTGATCCCCAACAAGTCCTCTCCTAGGTGCTGCGTCAATCCGACCTGAATCCAGGGAGGAAGAGGACACTACCCCCTTCTTCCCCTGCAGCGAGTGGGAGAACTTCCACTGGAGTCGTCTCTAGGCCTCCCGAGGGCTCGAGACAGTGCGTGCCCTGGGTCCCCAGCCATGCCACTGCGGGCTCCACTCTTCCAGAACCCTCCTCAGAAGAAGGGGCTGGGGGAGGGCAGAGCCGAAGGCATGGTTCCTTCCTTCCTGGTGGTAACCTGCCCGTCCAGTCCTACAGCCATCCCAGGGAAGTACACGGACTAAGGACTCTCTCCTAGTAAAAATGGATACGCAGAGTGGTTAATGATTTTATGTCCTATATCTCAGTAATGTGCTCTGTTTCAGACATTAATTTTGTCTGCCAACTGCATCTTGGCAGGTTACCATATTTGCTGGGTTAATAGTCTGACTCCGTTTTATTTCTATCACCATAAATCATACATATATGGGTGTGTGTTTGCTTTATTTATAGAAAAAAATCAGTCAAAACAGATAAACCAATACTTTGCCATTATGCTGCATCATTGCATATTGATTAAAATTGCTGGTACTAACTATAGATTGTCAACGCTCAATTAATTTTCACACAGTGACTCCCAGCAAAATCAAATAAAGGCAGTGTACCTTTAAATTTTACAAATCTTAAAATCAAGAGGCAAAGCACTGTCTCCATTTTGAATAATCAGTTGAAGCTACCAGGAGGTTTTTAGGAACATGTGTGAGAGAGAGAGACACCCGCTCAAGAGAGCTCATTCCCAGGAGCAAGGTCCCAGGCAGGATCTGCACTTGGGCATCATCCTCGCACCTGGGTGTTCACCGCTCATGCTGCGATGGCACCCTTCAAGGCCTTCTACAGGGAACCAAGAGCTAGGAGAACCCTGGTCCTGCCTGCACGGAGCTCACTCCCCGCCGGGTGCCGGGTGCACCGGGCGTCTCCATCACGCGGGCTGCAGCAGCCCAACAGGGTCCTTTCCCCTTGACCATCACTTGGGCTGGACTCTTCCTGCCCCTGTACTAACACAACACTGTCCCTGGCCCTGCCTGGCCTAGATGCCTCTTCCTTCTGCTGCCATGGTCCCGCCCCTGGCAAGCGCTCAGAATGCGTTTCAGTACCAGGGTTCAGCGGAGATGACTCTGCTCCAAACAAGAGCTGGTAGCTTGGCCTCACGGGCAAGGACCATGTCTGACTCATCCCGTGTCTCCCCAGATGCCCGGCACACTGCCCTCACCAGGAATGGGCACCAGAAACCTCCGCACGAAAACGTGCCCCTGCAGGGCTGTCCCCCTCCCCACACCTGGACAGGAGGCAGAAGAGGACCACTCAGTGTCATGGCCCCCTGGATGTCCACCAGTACTTACGGGCTGAGGGGCGGCTTTGGGTTCCGTAGACTTCACATGCAGGTGGGTCATCATGGCCTGGAGGCGTTCTTTGTCTTTAGCAAGCTAGTAGGAAGAAAAGGGGTCGTTCGTTATCTCTGAGAATACAGATGCACGACTGTTTCACTAAATCACACATATTCCATGTAACTATGGCTCCACGAAGTGTGAGAAAACCATGTGCTGGCCTCTTCATTTTGGAATTCATAGACACACTGCCAAACGCCCAGGAACCGGAGGTGTGAGTGTGAGATTTCTCAAGACCAGATGCATTAGCCTTGAACTGGGGAGTTCCCGACCTGCCGGCACCAAGGAGGCCCGGGGAGCAGGCCCAGGTAAAGACACAGGTGAATCATGCCTGTTGACTAGCCTGACTCAGAGGATGGTGAGTGAGGCAGCTACGACTCGTAGACGCACCTGTTGGGGTCGTGGAGAAACCCAGACAGATGGATACATCTGTGCAGACGTAGGCTCACCTTTCTTCACAGGTAGCACAGAGTAAGACGGTGCTGGCGGGTGACGTCAGCAGAGAGAACCAGGGTCAGAAGTCTGGTGGACAGTTCCCATCCCCACCGGGACACAGTGAGCTCACTCACGTATTCATGTGGGGACTTGCCGTACGGTTCCCATCCCCACGGGGACAGAGTGAGCTCACACACATGTCCAAGTGGGGACCCGCCATTATCGTGATCTGAGTCTTCTGATGTCAGGAGACGTTTCTGATTGGAGGCATAGAGCAGGTGCTGGCTTCCTACTTATTGGGTGCTACAACCTTTGTGCTTGGGCTGTTTTAACTCAACGACTTTGATGACTCAAGACAGTTGGGCACAGGGAATATACAGTGACAACTTTGGTTTAAAAAGGGGGAAATATATCCCCCCAAAGGTAAAAGGTATATTTAAAAGAACAGCAGAGTGCCTCAGTGAAAATACAGGAGAGATTAATGAGAGCAAGGGAGAGTGGGAGGGCAGAAGGGGAGAGAGAATGGGAAAGAATCTACATATAGTTTTATTTCAATACTTTTCTAGACCATTTTTCCAAAATAATACCTTAGCAATGCGAAGGGGCTCATTCCTTCTATGTGACATAATTCACCTTACATCCTTTTGAAAGCAATTTTTGCAAGATGACAATTATTCCAAAATTGAAAATGCTTCACTTTTGTAGGGAAGTGACTGTCTGCGGGGAGAGGGGCTCGGGCATGGGGGCAGACGGAAAAGAGGGCAAGGTACAAAAGGAGCAGAGCACCACGGGCTCGTCCTGGCTGGATGACTCAGTCGCAAACCATATCGCGTTTGATTTTTTTCTTTCTCTTTATTCCCTTGTGGCTCAGGGAGGAATAAATTAAGAAGAAGAAGAAAAAAAGCCTTACAGTGTTAGCATTTATCTTTCAACAAACAGGAAATGAAAATGATTCCATATTAGGAGTCACTTTATGTTATTCATCCTGCTCTTTAGCGAGTTATCGAACAGCCGAACTCAGGGAGCCCTGAACACATAATGCTGAAGGAATTCAGTTTCCCAAAGCGACTCAGTTGGAACAATTAAAATGTTGGGAATGGCATTTTAGTGCAGTTACTTATTTTTTTTTATGTGAAGTCTCCTAAGCTATTTTTTTATATTAAAACTTAGAAAAAATTCTTAGATTAAAAAAAGAAAAACTGCTTGGTTTTAAAATCGTCACGGGGCAGGAGGACTGTGAAGCATCTCTGGCGCCCTTTTCTTTTTTTGATAGGGGAGATTGAACCCTGAGCCCTTTTATTATATTTTATTTAGAGACAGGATCTCATGGAGTTGCCAAGGCTGGTTTTGAACTTGTGATCCTCCTGCCCCAGCCTCCCAAGCTGCTGGGATTACAGGTGTGCACCACCGTGCCCAGCTAGGTTGCTCTTTTTAAAAACAAGAAGGGACTGGCCATGCTGGACAACCCGAATTAAAGGGTCAGAGGTGCTACTTACTCAAGACTCTGCTGAATATGACTTAATTTGGGAGTGACATTATTAGTGCAGCAATTACAGAAACCAAGTCCGATAAAAGGAACACCGAAGCTTCCCACATCAAAAGGAACCAGTCCATCCAAATGTCAGCCCGGCTGGGCTACCCCAACCTCACACTGTACTGGAGAGACAGCCCCTGGACACGTGTCCACAGCACACGCACAACCCCACAGGTGACAGCCACAAGAAGGGGGACTTGGAAGAACCCACGTGGCGAGCTCCTACGAGCCTCGGCTCAGCATCCCAGGGAAGGTCCCGTAACAAGGAAGAACTGCAGCTTGTGTTGGGGTCAGCGCAAACCCACCCGGACCACTCCCCAGACAGGCCCGGGGCTTGGTCAACGGTCGCCCCCAACAAACTGTTCCCACCATTAGGAAAAGAAACCCACCAGACTGGCTTTGTGTTTTAGGGCAAAATGGCAACACGTTCACACTCGAGGAACCACATCTTGCTCTGCAGGAGCCGCAGGGCCCTTGTGGAGCTGGCTGGTCCTTCACAGGCGTCCATGTCCCCTAYGGCTTGAACGCATCACCCCCGGGCCTTGTGTCCCCTACGGCTTGAACGCATCACCCCTGAGCCTTGCTGCCCATCAGCCCTCCCACACCCTCTCCTCCCAGAACGGAGACACAGATACTCGGCTCGGCCCGCAGACTCCAGCTCCCTCTGAACCGGAAGGAGCCCCAGGAAGGGCAGGGAGAGGCGGTGGCTGGTGCAGGCCAAAGGCCGACTAAAGCTCCAGCAAGTTAACAAGAAACGTTAACGCTGTGACACCAAGACGAGAACGGGTGGGCCAGAACAGGTGGGTGGCAGACAAGAACCACCGTGGTCACGGCAGGCGGAGCTGCTCAGGGTGGGTGGTCACCTGCAGCTCTGACCCGTGCTCCGCTGTCCATTCTCCTGTGTGTGCAATGGCCATCTGAGCTCTGAGGGGTCACTCTGCAGAGGAGACGCGCCCTGTGTAGGCCAGGGACTGGTGCCTCGTGAATACTCAGAATTCAGGCACAATTACATGAGTCTACACTGGCTGAGTGTGTGTTTAGAATCTGGGTCCACACAACAGGGGTTCAATGGAGCTGGGCTAGCTGGGAAGAGGAATGATTTTAGGGTTTTAGGGGACGGAAAGATAAAGCCCTTCCTCGCGGGCAATCACCCTTGGCTCTTGCAGCATCTTCCCTGCACGGGGGACACTGTGCCCTCTTCTGTTAGTGTGGCCTCGGATCACGTCTGCAGAGCTGCAGGAGAAGACCAAGGACATTCCGCGGTCCCTTAGCAGAGCAGGGAAACAAAACTGCTACAACGAGAACGGGGCTTGGTCTGTGTTCAGTGGTGCCGACATCTCAACGGAGGACAACAAGGGCCAGGCTGGTCACTCCACTCAGTGGAGGTGAGGCCTGGTTGGCCACTTGAGGTCCTCCAGTCCTGGGGAAACTGAGGCCACAGGCAAAACCATCAGAGGGCATGCAGATAGCAGGGGCCAGAAAGAAGACCAGGGTCCCGGTGGGCACTGTGGGCTTGGTCGGATGGGATCACAGGGATCACCTGAGTTTTCTATTGCCTCTGCCTCTGCCCCTCACCCCTGAGCTGGTCTCCGCTTCTGGGCCTCCAGAGCAGGCGTGCAAAGTCAGCAGACACCACCCTGCCCTGCCAAGCCCACGCTTCCACATCTGCAAGCAGATGGTCTCGTTGGAACAAGGCCTCCACGTGTGCAGGGAACCAGGCAAGTCTGGGAGACCGTGCCCTCTGCCACGCACATGCATACACACACTATACACACACTACACACATTATGCACACACTACACACTATACACACACTACACACATTATGCACACACTACACACTATACACACACTACACACACCGTACACACTCTACACATGCACACACACCCCGCACACATTCACACACTACACGCACACACATACCTGACCCCTGGGAGGAACACAACCCAAGTCCTGCTGGCAAACCCAGCAGTGGCTGAGCCGCCGTTCTCCTTCCCACTCCAGGGCAGCTCCAGTGCCCGCTGAGCTCAGCCCCGGGGACAACCTGTCAAGACTCCTTAGCCACAGGCGCTGGTGGCGGGCAGTCCATGGCTTGTTTCACCCGGCCGCAGGCCCTCCCCGTCCTCACGCACCGCCCCGTCTCAGCATTCCTCACGAGCTGTTCTTAAAGGCTCTCTCGACATTTGAAGCAGACGCACACTAACAGTCAGTCATAGTCTAGGAATTCCAGTGCTCCCGGAGTTAGGCAGGATTCTAAATCATGAAAAGTCAGCACCTTGGTGTTCAAGGGATGAGGAAGGGAGAAACCTGGACTCCCTCTCTTCTCCTCCTTGGTCCCAGCTGCAAAGCGGTGTCCGTGCGAGGCTACACTACTGTTGGGCACTCTGTCCCCAGCTCACTCGGGGAGCTGGCTCAGGGGGTCAGAGAGGACTGAAGCGGGCAGCACTGCTAGAGCCGCTCACTGAGGCCTGGAGCTGGGTGAGGATGAGCCACTCTAACAGGGACCCCATGGCAGGCAAAGTGCCTCTAGCAAGGCGTGGTGCGGGACTCGGTCCCCACCCGCCAGGGCAGCCCTGCACGTCCCTCCCTGCCGCACCTTCTCAGAGCTCTCAGTGCCTCGTGCAGGTGGGACCTTCCCAGGGACCTTGCCGGGCTCCACAGGAGATGGCTCTGGGAAGCAGAGGGGACGCCACCCACGAGCCAGCCAGGTTTTAAAACCAGCCTCGGCAGCTCACGGCATAAGCCCAGAGCCCSGAGGGCCACGGGGACCCCTGGGCAAGAGGAAGGGCTCGGGCTGCCAGGCCTTGTGGCCCTCCCAGGCTTTGCTCAGTATTTAACGGTGGCTTGCAGCAAGTGACTCTGCCTGCCTCTGCCTTGGGGTGCTCCTCCAGGAGGAGTGGGAAGGGAAATTGTCTCCTGGGATCTAGGAGGCTGGCGGTGGTCACCCTCACCATGGGGATCCTCCCGCCTTTTCCAACACAGCAGCAGCATGACACCACACGTGCTCACTAGAGGCGAGACACAGGCTAATCCCTAACCTCCCGTTTTTTTTCTTTAAAAAGTGACTCAGAACCAAGGGAAGAGGGTGAGCGCTGTTCATAGGGAAGGCGAGGATGTGACGGAACTGGGGACAGTGTCTTGGCAGACAGCGGCTCAGGGAAGAGTGGTCCCTGAGCTCCTCTGAAGTGATCATGAGCGGAACGAGGGGCACTCAAGCGCTCTTGTCCCCAGCTTGCCCAAGACGCTCTCAGCTTTTAAACTGAAAACCCCAAGTCTCAAAAATCTCCCTCATTCCCAGCAAGCAGACCTCGGGTCAGCCCGTCTCGTTTGGAACAGACACACGGATTTCAGGAAGGCGAGCGCCGTCCTTCTCCCTCACCCTACAATCCGACTCAGTCCTCCAGGGCCCTCGGCCAGACTGTCCTTGTCAAAGGCTCCCCCTCTCTTAGGAACCTGGCCTGGTGCGGTGGTGGAGGCTGGTCCCTGGCCAGGAAGCGGCACCCGGGGCCTGGATCACCACGGAGCTCCCTCAATCATGTGTTAAGCAGCAGAAGCCGCACATCTAACTCCTGCCCGTCCACAGGCAGTGGTGCGGTCCCCGCTGAGTTGCCGCCGTCTCTTGCTGCGTTAATACCCATCTCAGAGGGTCTCTCAGTGACGGGGCTGCAGGACACTGTCCTGAGCCCTCAGGCTCTGCCTCAGCTCCCAGTCCTCTCTATCCCTGCATGCCAAAGACACCCCACCCCAGGACTCAGGACAGTCTGACCCCATGGCGCAGTCCTGGGACACAAGGAAACCCATCTCTCATCAGGAAAAGGCAGCTACGCTAGCGATGCCTGGTTTTCCGAGAGAGGCAGGTCCTGGCTGGCTGCTGTCTGCTGAACAGGACGCTTCCTTGCCTCCAAGTGGAAAGCCCCCCCCGCCCCCCCCCCCCGAACACAAAAGGCTGACAGATAAGCACGTCATGAATGCACCTGCACTGAGACCATGTGAGAATGCTGCCCCACTTCTAACGCACCCCTTTGTACAACATTCCGGAAGAATCTGTCAAGGAGACATTCAAGAGATGAAATCTTACACTGTACTCTCTGACCTCAAAAAGTCCTGCTTTTGGTTTCATTTATGCACAGGAGCCCATCGGCAGCTCTGTGAAGGGAAGTGTCTCTAGCCACTGTTCCCTGAGACTGAGGGACATCACTGACAGACGAGACACAAAGGGCCGTCTCTCATGGGTAAGAGGAATTTTCTGGGGTTCAGATGCCAGGGCCTGCACAGGTACACAGCCCAGGGCTCAAGTGGCCTCCACTAGTGACGGTCACTGCTGGACCTGAATCTGCCCTCTGAAGCCTCCTGTTGGTCCTTTACTGTGATCCTCTAGTTTAGACCTAAGGAGCCTCCATCACTGCACGCTGGAAGATCTGGTCCAGTGTTCCAGGCTCAAGGGCTGCTGTGTGGACAGAGGCCTGTGGGCCTGCCGCTTCACAGCTCTCCTCCTGCTCCGGCCCAGCCACCACCCTTGGGGAACGGCTCTCCCCTGGAGGGCTCAATGGTACCAACGGTTCTCAAAGTCAAGTTACTCCATGCAGATTCTGCAGCCCACTCTGAGATGCCTGGAGGTTCAGGAAATTTCCTGGACTGGGGTACACTTCTCTAATGGAAAAGAAGTAGCCCTTGGGCCAGGCAGGTAGAGGGCACTCCCTCTAGGGCAGTGAACCCCAGCCTACGATGTGAGGATGGGGGACAGTGTCCTGGGAAAGGGCACCTGCAAAGGCCACTCTCCATGCATAAACGTGTCTGCTCCCGTGTTCCTGCTGGAGCAGGGGCCTCATTCCCTGTTCTCAGCCTCCACAGGCACCAGGACTGTCAGTCGAGGGTCCATTCAGAAGTGCACTTCCCGACACCAGCCTGAGAAGTGGCAAGTGCAACCACACTGACATGGAGGCGCTGAGCTTCAGAGAAACAGGAAGCCTTGTCTCAGGGTCCCCTGCAGCACTAGGATGCACCCCAGACCCTCAAGTGAGGCCTGGATAGGGCTCGTTGGAGCTCAAGAGGGTTACAGACTAAAACTGCTGGCCTTTCTTCTCTGTGTCACCTGACTGAATAACGGATGGGCAGAATCTGTTATTGTGTGACCTCTTTGTAACATCAAGACCCTCTTCTGGGTAAACATCTGGCACTTTCAAGAATGTGTTAGCGTCAGCTAGCACCATCCAATGGGTGGGTGGCTCTGCTGGAGAGTTACCAGAACTTTGTGGTCTCCTGTCACTTCTGCAGGACGGAATGCAGGGGGCCGTCCTGCCTGATGTCAGCACGACTGGACCCCACGGAGGCGCAGCCAAGATGGCGCAGGGTGGGGGTTCTGCCTACCACTTGCTAAGTGAGAAAGTATGAGGGAGGGAACACCCTCAGCAAGCCTCTGGTGACCTCCGAGGCTGGCGAGCGCTCGTGCAGCCTAGGAGGTGCCCTGACCCACTTGGGGAGAGCACAGGCTTTTCCACCTTGGCCAGGAAGGAAGGGGTGGGAGGGGAGGACAGGAGGCGTGCACAATCCAGGCAGCTGGGAACGCAGGCCCGAGGGGCTAACGGCGTAATGCCACTCGATTCCCCTCACCCTTGGCCACGGGCTGCTTTGCCATCTCACCTGAGAACCAGGGATCTGCCAGTTACTTGGCACTGCTGTGGTCGTGCACAGGCGATCCCAGCACCGCTGGCTCTGGACAGCCTCTGGAGCTGGCACCGAGGTACGGACCTCAGGGCATTTTCACCTGTTCTACAGTGGTACCCTTTGGTTTTGGTCTCCTAACTATTTAAAATGTCAAAACCTTCCTCAGCCTCTGGGATCAGGCCTGAGAAATCTGCCTACTGCTGACAAGCACTAGGCCACCATCTAATGATCCTTCAGGCCCTGCACGAGCAGCCCTGTCCAAAAGAGCCTGTCTCTCCCTCCACGGAAGCCCAGCCTGGGATGCGGCCGTCGCAGGTGACCACAACAGCACACTTTCTTGCCATCGCACCTTACTTTCCATCACAAATTGAAAACATGATCTTCAGTTTGACCTACAGCCTTAGCACGAAAAGAAATCTATCCATACGTGAAATCTGCAGATACCCAAGACTGCTCTCCGTTTATCTTGCCACGCCCACCGAAACCCACGGTCCCATGGCCAGGAGAGATGGCCTGGCTGGCGGAGGGTCTCCCTCCCCCTGACCTCTCTCGGTACAGAGTGTACAATTAGTAAAGCAGACGCGCAGTTCCTGGGTGACTCACAACCCCTCCATCTTGCCCTGAGCATTCTGCAGCATGCAGTCCTGGGCCACCCAGAACAAGGGATCAGAGCCCATCATCAGGAGGGTGACTTTATCCAGCAATGGGCATTACTTCATAAATACCAGACCCACGCAGACCGCAGCGCCCGGGCGTACATACTGTGGAACTCGGGTTTTCACAGGCATAGGGTGCTAAATCTATCACTTTTTTTTTTCCTTCTTCACAACAGGTTAGGTTTAAGGATATTTCCAAAGACATACAAAAATTGGGGATTTTTTTGATGTGACCTTTGCCTGGATAAATATCTTACTGTTCTGCTAAGTTTCTGTGTGTCATTAGAATGGACATCATTAACTAGCTCTAGAAAATAAAATCCTACTAACAAAACACAATTTGTCATATAAGGTGAGAGCTAATTTAAAAAAAAAAAAAGATTCTTTCTATCTAGAAAACTTACAACAAAAAGTTTAAGTGGTGTTTGGGCTGATTTTTCTCTGCAACTATTTGAAGCTGTAAATGACTTAACTCGGTGAAATTCCAAATGTAATTATCTCCTGTACTTAGCCGAGGGCTCTCCATATATCTCGGCATTGCTGCCTTGCATACAAAATAGGTTTCCGATGGCTGGTACCCACGTAACGTGCAGTGCTGTTTTAATTTCGCCTCGTTGACTAACCTCTCGCCCACTCGGCACCAGCCAGAGGAAGAAGCCGCAGAGTCACGGGTACTCAAAAGCGCTCTGGAACTTGGTTGCATAAATGGGGTTTACAGGGTCAGGCTTCTGTAACTGTACATTTTAATAATCTCTATTTCTGACCCAATTTTTACTTCTAGAAACTAATTTTCTATTAATTATGCCAAGAATGGGATTATTGTTCAAATATGGTATTTTATCAACAAGCCGTACCAGGCGGTGGAACCCCCTTTAGGAATGCCCCCATCTCTCACGCCTAGGAAAATATGAACAAGTCATGAAATAGGTCCAACATGGCACAATGGCTTTCTAAACACCAAATCATACCATGTGTAAATAGATACAAGTATTTATGCACATTTTATTCACATATATGTGAATATATCTATTTTGGTACTAGGAAATTAACTTGGGGGTGCTCTGCCACTGAGCTACACCCCTAGACCTTTTCACTTTTTGAGACAGGGTCTGCCTAAGTTGCTGAGGCTTCCCTTGAATTTGTGATCCTCCTGCCTCAACCTCCCAAGGTGCTAAGACTACAGGGGTGCGCCACCGTGCCTGGCTCTGTGTGTATATTTTCAATGTGTGCCATGAGCACTCAGTGGTGGAGAGAAATGGGTGCCACGTAGGAGGAGGAATGACCCTCATATGCCTTCCACTCCGACATGGCACAACACACCTCCCTGTGCCCACACTCCTCTCCCCAAACTGCAGTTTAACACCAGTAGCAACTTGAGGGAATTAGTTCAGCAACAGGTAACCAGAAAGGAAAATGAGGAGAGGAAAGGGAGGGAGAATGGGGGAGAGATGGAAAAGCTGAGGTGGTGGCCATGAACTGGCTACACACACACACACACACACACACACACACACACACACACACACACGGCCTGGGGGTGACCAGACGTCAGGGTAGCAGTTCCCAGGCTAAATGTGCCCAAAGAGTTAAAAAACAATAATAAAGGACGACCACAGGCTTCGGACTTTCAGTACCGAGCACACAGGAACCCATTGTAGAACACCAAGGGAAGGTTAGAAATAAAGGGGCTTTACCTGTAGCTCTAACTGCTGCACCACCTGCATCTGGACTCTACACTGGGCTGTACTTCTGTCGTCCAGCGCGTGCTCACTGTTGAGATGT